CCCCGACGCCCTGGTCTGCATCCCTCCTAACTTTGGCTGCACCTGTACTGCAGAAATAAAGCAGTTTGACACCACTTTAAATGTTGTGGCTTAGTACTATGTTACAAATCTGGGATTTATAGTTATCTCACTTTCTCTATCAGAGGTCTGGTGCCACAACAAATGACAAATCCCAGGATTCCATATTATTGAGCCATGGCTGTTACAGTGCTGCCAAACTGCATTAATTATGCAGTGCAGATGCAGCCACAGCTATCTAAACCAAGCAGATATATCTTAATATTCCACCTCCTCTTTGTTCATAATCTGCATAGTGATAAACCTGCAATTTCCTACAGGATCCTCCCTTAGAGATGAATGAAACCTATTCTGTTCCTTGCTGCCAGGCATTAACAGCAATGCTTCCTCTATCACCACACCCTAACAGATCAAGGAGCTTATCACATTCATTTTAAAACTGATCTGGATTAAATTTTAAATTGGGCAGCATCCTTATATTATCAGAAGGAGATAGCTGCTGAATCTACTGCCCGGGTCCATCCCGGGTCCATTCCAAGACTGTGGAATGACCGGCCAGAAGAGATCCAACAGCTAGACCAGCTGTCGGAATATAAAACACATTTGAAGACCTATCTCTTCCAGCAGGCCTACCCAGGCAAATTTAATCATGAATTTTAAACATGAAATTTATATTTAATCATTGTTTTATGTATTTTAATATCAATATTGTGTAAAGATGCACAATTAGATTTTTTAACTATGTTGTAACCCGCCTCGAGCCGTGAGGAGAGGTGGGTAAGAAATAAATTATTATTATTATTATTATTATTATTATTATTATTATTATTATTATTATCCCTGCTCCCAAGGCTGCTCCGGCAGCCATTTTCTTAAGCTGGAAAACTCCCAGTTTCAAAAAGAGGTGCACTGGGGATGGATCTGGGATGGACTTGGGCAGCAATTTTGTTGGCTAAACCCTTCTGATAATATCGGGATGCCACCTACTTTAAAATTTAATCCAGATCAGGTAAACCGATTTTAAAATGAATGCAATAAGCTTCCAAGAAAAGAACAGAAGACGGAGCAGCAAAAGGATTGTTGATCTTGAGTTCAGCAGAGAGCATTTGCCTGTTTGGAATGCAGCTCTACACATAGATAATGCCACTTGCAGTTTATAGGTGATGCTGCATGAGTAGGCACTACCATTAAAGAGAAAAGATCATTGAGGCAGAACTTCTTATTCTAGCTGATAGCTTGCCAAAGTGTTTTGCTGCCAGAGCTCAGTCATATATTTACAGATACTTGGCGATGAGCAGTTCCTATAGACTTGGTTTGCATTTAGGGTTCATGCTTCACTTCTTTGGCTGGGTAGGCACAATAAGCAGCAATAAACAGGGCCATCTGTTTGGCAAATAAACAGGCACTTTGCTGGCTCTATGCCTGCAACTTTGTTTCTGTTCCTGACAGGAAGTAGAATTCATCACTTCCTCCTGGTCATTCTTTAAAAAATGAAACAAAACAAAAAATAGGTCTTCCGGAGTTGTTAGAGTTCTTCTGCCATATTGAAATAAATGTAGTGGTTTCTAGACTCCTATTAGTTTATGAACAAAAATATTACTTGTTTTCGATTTTTGGAATATTTTTAGAATATTTTTTTCTATCACAGCTTTTTTTGCATTCCATTTTTGTATCTATTTGCCATTTTTTAAAAAACAAATCCTACATGAATCTTCATTCATTCATTCATATCTACTGTTTTATTATTTGCACTTATATCCCACCTTTCTCCCAATATAAATATTTTCATTTTTGTTGTGTGCCTTCAAATTGTTTCCAGCCTATGGCAACCCTAAGGGAAACCTATCATGGGGGTTTCTTGGCCAAGATTTGTTGAGAAGGGATTTGCCTTTGTCTCCTTCTGAGACTGAGAGTGTGTGAGTTGCCCAAGGTTTCCCACTGGCCAAACAAAGAATTGAACCTTGGTCTTCAGAGACATAGTCCAATGCTCAAACCACTATGCCATGTTGGCTCTCTATATTTTCATGCAAACTAAAATTCAGAGGTATCTTAATATGTATTGTCCTCTAATATATGCTTTGCTCCTACCAATGCTTTCCAATATATATGCCTTTATGTATGCTAATGTACAGATTTTTGTATGTATTTTTTTTAAATGGAGGAGTACATTGTAAAATTCAGAGAGGTGTGAAACTAAAAAGAACATTGAATTCTACTTCCTTGTAAAACTTTGAAAAGTGCCAATTAGATCAGTTTGTATTAACATGGAAGCCAAACAATTTTCTCTTCCCATGCTTTGACTTTGCATACTGAAATAAAAGCATGTGTGCATTATTCTCACACTGAGGATGGAGCAAGCTTGTTTTCTGTTGCTCCAGAGACTAGAACATGGAACAATGGATGCAAGCTACAGGAAAAGATATTCATTCTAAACATTAGGAGGAACTTCCTGACAGTAAGGGCTGTTCAACAGTGGAACACACTCCCTTGGAGTGTGGTGGAGTCTCCTTCTTTGGAGGTTTTAAAACAGAGGCTGGATGGCCATCTGTCTGGGATGCTTTGATTGTGAATTCCTGCACAGAGTTGGACTGGATGGCCCTTGGGGTCTTTTCCAGCTCTAGAATTCTATTATTCTCATTGGGTCTCTGTGGTTGGAAACCTGTTTGTTTCTTTTGGACAGGGCACAAACTCACTCGTTGCCAGCTGTCAGGCCCTAGGGTACTACTATGGCTTTTAAATGGCCAGAGGAAAGGGAAAGGGAGGGAGGGAGAGGACAGAGCCATGGGAACTGCCTCCCATCTCCACTACAGTTCTCTAGAGAAGGAGAATAGGAAGGACTGTCATAGATTCATAGAGCTGGAAGGAACCACTAGGGCCATTTAGTCCAATCCTCCATCTTGTAGGAATTCACCACCAAGGCTGCACCTACCCTGCAGAATGAATGAAGTCTGACACCACTTTAACTGCCATGGCTCCATCCTATGGAATCCTGGGATTTGCAGTTTGTTGTGGCACTAGAGCTCTCTGACAAAGAAGGCTAATTATCTCACAAAACTCCCAGAATACTATAGCTGTAAGCCATGGCAGTTAAAGTGGTGTCAAACTGCTTTGATCTGCAGTGTAGATGTAACTTAAAGCACTCCTGACCATTGTCCACCTAATTTGTTTAAAGACCTCCAAAGAAGGAAAGTCCACCATTCTCCAAGGCAGCATATTCCACTGTTGAACAGTTTTTAGCTCCCTCCATCTTCTATATGACATCTCTTTGGATATTTAAAGATGGCTATCATCTCACCTCTCAGATTTCTCTTCTCCAAGGTAAGCAGATATAGCTCCCTATGCCATTTCTCATAAGGCTTGGTTTCCAGATCTTTGATCATTTTGTCTGCTCTTCTCTGGACACATTCCAGCTTGTCAATATCTTTCTTGAATTCTGGTGTCCAGAACTGGACACAGTATTCCAGGTGAGGTCTGACCAAAGCAGAATAGAGTGGTAGTCTTACTTCCCTTCATCTGGACACTATGAGCCAATGCAGACTGGCCTAAAGGGCCAGTCTGGGGGTGGAGTTGGGGCAGGGTGACTGCACACTGACCACCCTGACTCCACCCTGATGCCGCCATCATGCCACGTGCATGACCGCATGGTGCGCTGCATCAGGGCACCCCATTGGTGCAGCATGCACAAATGCTGTGTCAAAGGGCACAAAGGAGCCATGGTGGCAGCTCTACGGGTGGCTTTTTGGTGCCCCCAAAAGGAGCAGCATTTGACAGCTCTTTTTGGAGTGGCAAAAAGGAGAATTGGGGCCACAGTGTGTGGTTGCCGCAGCCCCAACCCAGCGATCCTAGGAGCGGCACAGAACCACCCCTTAGGGGCCATCTGCATTAGCCCTATATCCCTATTTGTCTCTACTCTCTCTCAAGAAATTCAGCAATTCCAACTGCTCAGTTCCCTTCTTTCCTTTTATTTCCCCCTTCCCCAGGGAAGAGACAGCTGCAGAGCTGCATGTGCAGAGCATTATGCTTTGTGTGTGTCATGCAAGATCTCACCCAATATCAATTTGTTTATCTGTCTGTCTTTAGTTTTTCTTCTCTGACTCTTCCTTTCCTGCACACATTTGTATGCAACTGAAAAAAAGACATAATTTATTATGATGACAGGGAATTCAGCTCTAAGCTACAGTACTATGAGAGGAAGTCTATCCATAAAGCAACATTAAAAAGCACAGGGTCAACATGAGTAAGATGAAAAAAAATGACAGTAATATAGCAATTATATTATAGTATCAGAACAGGCTGCAGCAATATTATTCTCAACAACTTAATAAAAAGAAGACAAGGAGAAGGCACACCCATCATAAGTGCTGCTGTAAGATTTCCTACATTCATTTTTAATAGATATCTTCCAAAAGCATTCTGGGGAGGGAAATCCAGGGAGAAAAAAAATCATATTTTAACGAAAAGAACTTTGAAGATAATTTCAGTAGCACCCTTAATTCTTGCTTTCCATACCAAAAGAATGGATAATGAAAAAAGTCTACCAAGTATACCCTCATCTGTATATATTTTTCATGCCCAACCTGGCTGAGCAGATTGAGGATGAGGAAACTAAGCTAGAGCCTCAACTTGGACTTGAGCCTGAAGTGGAGTTTGGCCCTAGTTCTTCCCTGTCAGCCCCAGAAGAGTCTGTGGCCCCCAAGGAGGCTCAGCAACCAAGCCTCTTGGCAGCAGAGCCTTCAGGCATGGAGGAGGGAGAAAGGACTGTACCTACCTTCAACCCATGAAGAGCAGAAAGGGAGGGCCTCTGGTGCTCAAGGAGGCTTTATGAAAAATGCCGAGCAATTATTAACAGCTGAGAACCTGCGGTCTGGTAATATAAACAGGTGCCAGACACCAACATAGTTGTCGGAGATTATCTGAGCTTCCTAGTGAAAGCACGCTTGATCTTGATTCTCCTTGTCTTCTTGGCTGGAAACCTTGACACTCGGATTGCTGGTTTGCCTTTTCTCTCTGGACTCCTTGACCTTGCACTGCCTACACAACTCATCTCTCTCTGGAACCTGGACTTTGTCTGGTTGTACCCTTGATTTGTTGCTACGAGACTTTTGCTTTATGACTGTTTGTGTGCAGAGAACTCTTGACTGCCTTAGCTCTGCACATTGTTTTGTTTTGTGTTGC